CTAGCCTTGAGCTGAAGAGCTGAGGGACAGCGCCCAGGCCCAGAGTTCAGAACCCACAACCGGACCCAAAAAACAACAACAACAACAAAAATATTTTTCATGACACCAATGGCTCACACCTATAATCTTACCCACTTCAGAGTCTAAAATCCTTAAGATTCAAAGCCAACCTGGGCAGGTTGGCCCAGGATCTCCAATACTGCCCAGTAAAAAGTCAGGCTGGAGATTTGGCTCATGTGATAGAGTGCCACCTAAACAAGCAAACAGAGCAAGTACAAGGCTTTGAGTTCAAAACTCTGGTGGTAGAGGCCAGGAGCTGGTGGCCTGTAATCCTAGCTACTCAGGATTATACTTCGAAGCTAGACTGGGCAAGAAAGTCAGTGAGACTCTTTTTTTGTTGTTGTTAGTCATGGGGCCTGAACTCTGGGCCTGGGCACTGTCCCTCAGCTCTTCAGCTCAAGGGCCACAGCAGCACTTCTCGTTTTCTGGTGGTTTGTTGGAAATGATAGTCTCACGGAGGTTCCCGCCTGGGCTGGCTTTGAACTGCCATCCTCAGATCTCAGCCTCCTGAGTAGCTAAGATTACAGGTATGAGCCACTGGCGCCCGGTGTCAGTGAAACTCTTATCTCCAATGAACTACCAGAAAAAAAAAAAAGCCAGAAGATGTGGCTCAAGTGGCAGATTGCTAGCCTTGAGTGAAAAATCTCAAGGAAAATCTCTCTATGCTCAATGCTAGTACTCCACCACTTGAACCACAGCACCACTTTTGGCTTTTTCTGAAATTTTTTGGAAATAAAAGTCTCAACAGACTTTCCTGCCTGGGCTGGCTCTGAACCACGATCCTCAGATCTCAGCCCCTGGAGTAGCTAGGATGAGAGGCATGAGCCAACGTGTTTCCAGTAATAGGATACTAATTAAACCAACTATGGTGTTTAAAGACAACAGAACACTATGTAAAGCTTTAAGTGGAGGTGGGTGGATTTCTGCGTCCTCATGAGGAACTATCTCTGGATATATGAGAAATTTGAAAAGAGCACAGAATAGTGTAAACATCATTCTATTTATGGGAAAGTAACTAGTATCTGGATGAAGAGAGAGGGTGGAGGTACGCAAGATATGAACAAGTTTTCTCAAAAGATGTAGTTTTTAACTGATTTTAGACCTATTTGAACTACCCATTCAAAAATAATTCTTAATGTAAAGACTGAGACAGCTAGAAATATTTGATATGAAGAAAATATAGTTTTCTCAGATAAAAAAAATAAATGATCTAATGAGCTAAATCAAAGTAGATTTGGCTGGTCTAGTTAAAATATGATTTGAGATGGGAAACTAACTGCTACTTCATTAAAAACAGCATTTAAGAGCTAGAAGTAGGGTTATACCTATTATCAAAATTCTCCAAAGACTGAGGCAGGGAGAGAATCTGAGGTCAACCTGGGTTACATAGCAAGACTGTTTAAAAAAAAAAAGCAGGCTGGATGCTTGTGACTTACACCTACAATCCTAGCTACTCAGGAGGCTTTAAACAAGCCAGCCCAGGCAGGAAAAGTCCATGAGACTCTTATCTCTAATCACAGAAGATGCAGGAAGTGGTGCTATAGTTCTAATGGTACGGAGTGCTTAGCCTTGAGCAAAAGGAGCTCAGGAACAGCGCCCAAGACCCAGAGTTCTAGCCTTAGAACCAGCAAAAAAAAAAAGTAATTCCATCATCTAAAACTCTAGTCTTACCTATATTTCATAATTTCAACTATATCCTCAGCATCTTCTTTGGTTGCTTCTTCTCTCAATTCTAACCTTGCTCGTGCCTTTGAAAGAAAAGAATCATTTTAAGATAGCAAAAGAAAGTTGTTTTTTTTTAAACCACATTTGAACAAGTATGGCTATGTCTAAGCGTACTTACTGTATATAAAAGGTGACTTGAGGGAGAAAAGCTAAAATATTGAGTCCAAATTTTTAAAAAACAAAATTTGAGTATAACATAGCATTTAAAATATGGATAAAACTAAAAAAAATGGATAAAACTTACTTTTACCTACTAGCATTTTTTTCTGAAAGTATTCATTTCAGGAGATGTAATTATAAAAACATATTTTTCTTTTTTCCCCTTTGGTCATGGGGCTTGAACTCAGGGCCTGGGCACTGTCCCTCAGTTCTTTTTGCTCAAGGCTAGCGCTCTCCCACTTTAAACCACAGGCGCCACGTGTAGTTTTTGAGTGGTTAATTGGAGGTAAGAGTCTCACAGGGACTTTTCTGCTCCACCTGGCTTTGAACCACAATCCTCAGATCTAGCCTCCTGAGTAGCTAGGATTACAGGCATGAGCCATAGGGCTTGTTAAATTTTTCTCTTTGCTTTTTATTTTCAGGAAATCATCCCTAGCCAGTTTTTTAAACAACAAAAAGAACTTAATCTGATTTTAGGGACAAAAGCCTAAATGTCTGACAGCTAACTTTGAATGCCCAAGTTCTCTCAGCAGTTTATGATATGAAGAGAAAAAACAAGACACTGTCCTTACAGACATCATGTCACAGATTAGCTACTAAGGTATTTCAAATATTCCTTGTTTGTATAAGCTTGGAATCCCCAAATCCTAGTTACCCTAATCACCTTTCAGACAACTCCATGAATCCAAGTGTCATTAATAGAAAATAAAAGTTGGGCTGGGAAGTTGGCTCAGTGGTAGAGTGCTTGCCTTGCACACATGAGGCCCTGGGTTTGATTCCTCAGCACCACATAAAGCAGAAAAAAGCTGGAAGTGGCTCAAGTGGTAGAGTGCTAACCTTGAGCTGAAGAGCTCAGGGACAGTGCCCAGGCCCAGAGTTCAGGCCCCACGACCAACAAAAAAGAAAAAAGAAAAGTTGCACAGGAAGCCACTGGTCTTATACCTAGTAAGAAATACTTTTGATATGCTACAGGTCTGAACAAACTTTATAAAAACATTTATCCACCCACTTCTTATGTCTCTTAGTAGGAAGAAAACTTGAGTCAATTATGGATCCTACCTCATTCTTTAAGCCAAAAAAAAATGTACAAATAAACAAACCTCAGTCAGGCGAATCAAAGATTCTAGTTGCCTGGTGGTGATTGGTGAGCTACTTAATCGCTGGCTCTGTTTCCGGAGTTCCAGGTAGAAATCTTGAAGAACTTGAGCAGCGTCTGTGGATAGCCTAGGGTAGACATACTGTCTAGCGTAGCCAATGTACTTTCTCAATAGCTGATGGGGAATTGGATCTATTATTTCTCCAGGAACTACCTGAAGCATGACAAAAGGCCTAATTAAGATTAAGTGCCAAATTCTTCTTGCTAAAATAACTTTTCAAAAAGACTCTCCAAATAAACGAAACACTATAATTATAGCTCTTATTTTGGTTGACTTATTAAGTTTATATATAAACTCTGGATTCACAATATAAAAAAAGTTTGGGTGCTATTCTACTTAGCATTACAATAAATAAGCCACATACTGGACTTTTGTTTTTGTTTTTTTGAGTGCTGGGGATTGAACCCAGGGTCCCTCCTCTCTGTAAAAACAAACCAAAAAAAACCCCAACTCCATCACACTGAACTCTGACATTCAAATAGAACCAGATAAGAGAAAACATGTATACCTTTAGTCTTTCTGACAGTGGTTTTTCAGAAACCACTTCAAGCACAGAAGTATTTGAATCTTGAGTATTCATACGAGCTACGGTGGCACTGCTCACAGTTCTTAGCTTGCCAGCTCTTATTGCAATCACATGTTCAGAGAGTAAGTGATCATGTTGCTCATTTGGAGTATCTAACAGAATAAAGACCAAGTCGAATCTGGATAGTAGAGCACTTCCCATTCTAGGAAGCAAGCAAGAAAGAAGAATTGGGATTAATATAGCTAGCAAACTGTTTACTCACTTGCTCACTATTCAAGTTTCATTCATACTTTGAGAAAAATCAAGTTTTCATAGATATAAGCTTTCACAGTGGTCCATGCTTGCAATCCCAGCATTGGGGACCTGGGGCAGGAAAACTACAATAGTGAGACTAGGATATATAGAGGGGAGCCTGTCACAAACAAAAACATCAAGTTTTGGGTTAAAAGTACTTAGTTTCGGGGCTGGGAAGATGGCTCAGTGGTAGAGTGCTTGCCTTGCATGCTCGAGGCCATGGGTTCGATTCCTCAGCACCACATAAGCAAAAAGAAAAAAGCCGGAAGTGGCACTGTGGCTCAAGTGGTAGAGCACTAGCCTTG